TGTTCAGCTCTTTTACCTCCCTACTTCTTCCATTTGTTTTAGCATCTCAATGCTGGCGAGCAAGTTTCAGAGTTTCTTCTGACATTCATTTTGGTCTTTTCCTTCTTTTTTGTCTTAATGACCTTTTACTTTTTGCCTGTATGATTTTCTTGCTGTCATCTCACATCTCTTCTGGTCTTTGGTCATTAATGTCTAATGCATCAAACCTGTTCTCAAGATGGTCTTTAAATTCATGTTATATTTTAATAACTGAGCATTTGATGGTCTGTTCCACAGTATACCCCTGGCCTTGTTTTGGTTAATGCTATGGAACTTTTCCACCATCTCTTTTCAAAGATGTAGTCAATTTGATTTCTGTGTATTCCATCTGGTGAGGTCCATGTGTGTAGTTGTCTTTTATGTTGTTTAAAAAGGTATTGGAAATGAAGAAGTCATTGGTTTTTCAAAAATCTATCATTCAATCTCCAGCATCATTTCTATCACCAAGGCCATATTTTCCAACTACTGATCCTTCCTTTTTGTTTCCAACCTTTGTATTCTCTTCACCAGTAATTATCAATACACCGTGATTGTATGTTTGTACAAAATGTAGACTATGTAAAAACTCATACTCACTGTGTCAGTTCAAGTGTGGCTTTTCTGGAGAACACCCATGCTACTTTTTCATTTCCATCTTTGGGGATGTCATTTTTATCCTCATAAGCCAAGAAATAGAGTGAAAATTTCATAGTAGGGAAATCTAACTTTTGGAGCAACCTGAAATTAAAAGAAACCAAACCCAAATCATTAAGAGTAGGAAAAGTTGATATATGTTATGTATATACATTAAGACTATTTTAATGAAATGAGCAGGGGAAACATCAGTGAAAGAAATCTCATTTAAAAAAACCTTATTCATCTGCAAATATTGGTGAAATATAAAAAAATTAATGCAAACTTTTATAATTAAAAAAAATCTTCAAATATAATGAAATTTACCTGGAATTAGGGAAATGACATATAATTAGAAAAAGTTATCATAAAAAGAGAATTTTGTTTAAGTGAAAAGTGTAGTGTATTACCTTTCTGTTTTTCAGATATATTCTATTCAATTAAATAAATGAGGTTTTTAAGTTTATTATGTCAAAACTTCTAGGAATGTTTACAAGATGAGTTTGATTTGAGAAAATTCATCAAGCTGTGCAATTAAGATTTGTTCATATTCCTGCACATAAAATAGATTAAAATTTTTTTTAAAGATACCCCTTCCCAAGACTGAAACTCAAAGGGAACACATGAGCAGGCATGTAAGCTTGTTGGTGCCCATGTTGGTCTATTGGTGAGTGGAAGAGGGGGAAAGGTAGCAATGAAGAAATGGGCCGAGTTCAACCATGTTCCACAGACTCCCGTGGACCTGGAGATGAGACAGAGAAGCAGAAGGGCTGGTTGATCCACAATATGGTGTGACCTGGAGATACCTGACCTATGGATAAGGACATAGCCACAGAGGGCTAGAGCTGACAGTGAAGCATCCAGCTGATATGGATAGGGATGGGCAACTTAGACATTGGCTACCTAAAATGAGGGGATGATAAAGGCACGAAGTGACTGGCTTACAAGGTTTCAAGGGAATGTTTAGTTTAAAAGTGTGTGGGGAAAGAGTCCCCACTGAATAGTTTTCATCTTGTCTAGATGGGTCTGGATAAAAGAGATTGGGATAAGATTCTTATGATTCAATTATGAGTAATTGTTATCATGACTAATTGCGACTCTCATAATTGTAAAGGTAGAAGTTTTGTACCAAAAACAGGGGAATGGTTAATCTTACATTTCAGAAACAAAGGACTCTAGGATCATCAAGGGAGAAGAGCACAAGTGGAATGAGAGACCCTATCGAAAGAAACAGCAACACCAGAGATGGAGGCAGAGATGGGGACATGGAGAGAGGGAGCAGCTGAGGGCTCTAGATTCATGCGAAGAGGGGGACTGAGAGCTGGCAGCCAAATGGCACATATATAAAAATGTAAAATTTGGTAAATTATTATATATGCCTGAGTGTTCATAAAAAAAAAAAAAAGAGCTAAAGTAAATAAACAGAAACACTGGTAACTGATGGTACATGGAAGGGATTATAATCATTGTAATGATGCAAGGTGTATGATTTGTTGAATGTAAAACTGATGATCTGCCCTGTAAACTTTTACTCAATCCACAATAAAAACCTTAAATTATTTAAAAAAAAAAAGCTACTCTCTCCATTGTGTTAGCATTGATTCTCACTTATAGCGATCCTATAGGACAGAGTAGAACTGCCCCATAAGGTTTCCAAGGCTGTATACGTTTATGGAAGCAGACTGCCCCATCTTTCTACCTGCTGGATTTGAACCACTGACTTTTGGGCTAGCAGCTAAGCACTTAACCACTGAGCCACCAGTGCGCTTTTAAAAAGATGAAATGAGCAAAAATCCAAATTAATTTCTAGGGAAAGAAAACTGAGGATAGGCAGTAAGAAAGAAGGAAGGAAAGAGATTAATGTCACAGAACACCTATGAATGTCAACAATTAGGCGGTTAACAGTATCAAATGCTGTAGAAAGGTCAAACAAAATTAAGACTGAGAAAAAGTCACTAGATATGGAAAGGCCAGTGAGAGCAGTTTCAGCAGTATGGGGCAGTAGGCATGGCACTGGACTAGAGAAAGAACAGGAATGAGGAAGTAAAACAGCAGCAGAGTGGGCAACGGTTACTGATGGTTGGTGAGAATGCAAAGAAAGAAGGGCGAGAGGGCAGAGGGGCTAGAATCACTGTAGAATAGAGAAGAGTTAAGTTTGCTTGCAGGTTGAAGAGAAAGCCAGTGGAAAATGAAAGAATGATATAAGCAAAAGAGTGAATGAATGACTAATTCTGAAGTTTTATAAAAGATCATTGAAGCTATGAGCTACAAAGTGGGTTTAAAATGTCAAATAGGGTAGAATGAGGATGCATGTAATACGATTTTCTGCAGATTTTTAAATATTAAATGCTCAGTGACTTTGTTTATAATCAACACGAGGAAATGGTTGAAGCATAACAAATGGGAAGTTTCTAGAGTTCTGCTCCAAATCTCTTATTTAATTATCACTTTTATGTAATACTACTTGGCCCATTGAGATCCACGCATTGAGTTACCACAAATAAGATTTACTCTAACATATTAAATTTATAGTGAAAAATGAAACACTTTAAGTATTCCAATCAAGGAAAACTATCCCTGCACTTAATAAAGTAGACTACTTTAGATGGAAAGTGGAGAGAATGAATCTGTTGTAACTTGCTTTTCTCAGCTGAGCATATCTTCTAGTGTAATGTCAAGTCGCACTCTCTTTGGGGAGAGGAGAGGAGAAGGAGAAGAGAGGAGAGGAAGGGCTCTTTAATAACAGGGCAAACATTAGCGTCAACAAGGCCTGGATTTGAATTCCAGCCTTGACATTTGCACTGTCAGCTCTGATGCCAGTAACTTAATCTCTTCAGTTTTTAGTTTCTCCCTTCATCTGTAAAACTGGGATATAAGCCTACTGTGAAGATTGAATGATGTAACAATAAAGTGTCCAATAAATTTTTTATTTTGTCCTTTCAATATGCCATAAGTATGTCCATATGCACTGTTTCTGGAAAGAATGAAAGCAACTGCTAACAGCAGTTATCTTTGGGGAGTCTTTTCATTTTCTGTCTCTCTGAATTGGTCAAATTTTCTAAACATAGACATATATGGCACTACTTGGATTTTTCTCCTACTGTCAATGGGATTTATCTAGACAATAAATTCAAGATCATTCATTTTATCCTTTCTGTACCCCACACAGACAAACATCTTAATATTATTTATGGTAATGAAAAAACACAAAAACAAAACACATAAGTTTGCCTTAAGGACTATAAGGGTTTCCTGTTAGCAAATAGGAGAACATGCCCTATGAAGGCAGAACAGATAGCCAGTTTTAGGTAAATCCATTCATTTTCTCAGCAATATGAGGGGGTTTCAAAATGTTTGTGGAAAAATTCCATTATCTTATCATTCCATTGTGCCACAGATTTCCTTAAGCCCCCAGTACAATCTAAGGAGCCTTGGTAGTATAGCAGAGTAGTTAGTTACATGTTGTGCTGCAAACTGCAAGGTCAGCAGTTTGAATCCACCAGTTGCTCCATGGGATTTCCTGGTATGGCATTGTGGGATAATGAACTGGATTACAAGGTCAGCTTGAACCAAAAGGTCGGTGGTTTAAACCTACTATCTACTCCTCGGATATCCTAAACAGGGTCGCTATGAGTCAGAACTGATTTGATGACACTTAGCTCTGGTGGTAGCGTAGTGGTTACGAATTGGGCTGTGAACCTTAAGGTCAATAGTTCGAAGCTACCAGCTGTTCTGCGGGAGAAAGATGAGGAGTTCTGCTCCCGTAAAGATTTACAGCCTTGGAAACCCTGTACAGGGTTGCTATGAGTTGGTTCCGACTCCACGGCACAGAACCACCACCACCACCAACAACAACAAAGGTTTACAGCTTCAGAAACCCTGTGCAGGGTCACTATGAGTTGGAACCAATTCTATAGCACACAACCATCTCCTGCACATTGTTACATTTACATCTTTCCTGAAGTAAACAAGATGCCAAATGTGGTCTGAACACATTCAGGATTTGACTGGCAGCTCTTTGGAGAGGAAACTGAATAAAATGCAAGTATTTGTATCTTTTATTGCCCAGGGAGACTGGCTGGGATATAGAAGAAAAGGAACTTGACAGATACTCTGGCCAACCAGGCATAGACCCAGGCTCACAGCCAAAAGACCCTTTGTTACTCCTGGAACAAATGTTAATTCATTTTCAAAATGGATCTGAAAACACTGCCTATACTTGCAAAATGATGACAGAACATGTATTTTAAGCATTACAGGTACCAAGAAATATTTTACTTACGTCATTCCAAGAATTCTAGTATAAAAGTCCAATGACTTCTTAGGATCTTTAACTCGAAGCATTGTCTGCTGCAGCAGAAAATCCTAGAGAGAAACAACAGTATGTATTAAACACCTTTAACTTTTACCACTTGCTACATATATGAATTATGTATTCTGGATAAGGAGCAGTCCACTACTCTACCACAACGTTGTTGTTTTTTAAAAAGAAAAGAAAAAGCAATTTTGTCCTCTTGTCTACCACAGAAACCACCTGGAAACAGTTCCCATAAATTGCTTCCTACAACGTCCTATGGCTCTCTGTCCAGGAATGTTTACTGGTCACAGGAATAGGCCACTCTGTGGGACAAGTCCAAAGTGCCAGGGGCTTGATATCCTAGGACTAACTTTCAATGATGGATTAAAAAAAACAATAACCCCAAGCCCTCTGACTTTCTTTTCCCTTAGGAGGACAACTGGGAGGCATGTTCCACACACAATCTCTCAAAGGCTCCCCAGTGGCCTGAGCCCAAGTTGCCCACAGTGGTGATCCACATTTACGACACCTTTTATTGACCTCCTTCTCCTGTTCCACAGAACTTTCTGTGATCAGCTACCCTACATAGGGTTTCCAAGGAGTGGCTGGTGAGCTTGAACCACCGACCTTGTGGTTCCAACCAACCTTGCAGTCCAGTGCATTAACCTGCAGCGCTACACCAGGATTCTGTAAACCATGTTACTCCTTCCCAAAAGGTGTTTATTCTCTTATACCCAAGATCTTGAAGATCTTGACAAAATAGGCCTGAAGATCCTGAGCTCTCCTTATACAGCCACATAGCCACCTCTCCCTATAACTCATATCACATAAAATACAAATCCTTCATTCAGCATCACGAGCAAATGAAAAGTAGTCAAAATGCACTTTAGCATTTAAAACAAAACAAGCCTAAACCTACTTTATCTTATTCTACTGATCCCAATGACAATAATAATTTCTTTATTCATAGCATAGAATCGCATAGAAAGCAGCTGGCTCTGAAGTTATGTGTTTTTTCACAATATTTGGATTGCTTTTCTCCATCAGCTGCTATGCTTTGGAATGTCTGAGCTAAGGTAGAGAAAAGCAGCTCTGAGACTAGGCGCTGGCCTGGCACTCAGGGATAGGCCGTGGTTTTCTCCTGTTGAATATAATTTTAAAAAACACCAACAAAGTTACTCTGTGCCTGCAGTGAAGTGAGACACAAACAAACAAACAAACAAACAAAAGCAGTAAGGCCGCTTCAAAATAAGAAGCTGCAACAAGACACTGTGAGCACAGGAAAAGCAGCAAACATCGCCCTCTCCTGGTTAACATGGGTGACTGCTGCTTCACTATCAGTTACAAATGAAACTCAAGGAAGGCACTTCAAAACAAAACCCTTTGTGGGCTCTTTCAGGCTTGACAATTTCAGGTAGTACAGGCAACAACAAAGGCTGTACATGGCAGGTATCAAGGGGGAAAGCTGCTTCCAGGATTCTAGACTTGGGGCAGAGTCAGTGCAGTCAAGGCCCCTTCAGAATCCATGTTCCTCCAGCCCCAGGATCTGTGCTGATCACTTGACTCTTGCCAGTTGGGGGCTATTCCCAGGCTCCCCAGCAGGGGTGACGCCCTGTTGCTCAGTGCTGGGAGCTGCTCCCCTTCCTTTTTGGGCTTCTTTTGTAAATGACAGCAATAAGTGAATGAAGCCTTGATGGTTACTCTTGTTGAGGCTAACATGATCTATTCTTCCCTTCTCCATAATACTGTTTGTTGTTGCTCAGTGCCATCAAGTCAGTTTTGACTCATAGCGAGCCTGTATAGGGTTTCGGGCGAGCAGTTGGTGAATCTGAACTGCTGACATTACAGTTACAACTGATCTTGCGGTCCAGTACATTATCCCACAGCACCACACCAGGACTCCTTTTAAGACACTTACTGCTCCTATAAAGATTTACAGCCTCGGAAGCCCTGTACAGGGTCGTTATGAGTCGGAACCGACTCCACGGCACATAACAGCAACAACAGATAGAATTGGAGCCCTGGTGTGGCGCTGTGGGTTAATGCGCCAGACTACAAAGCCGTTTGAACTGCAAGGTCAGCAGTTCAAGCTCACCAGCTGCTCCTCGGAAACCCTATACAGGGTAGCTATGAATCGGAAATGACTCAATGACACTTAACAACAACAACAACAAATAGAATTAAGGAGTCCTGGTGTGGTGCTGTTGGTTAATGCATTGGACTGCAATGGTGGCTTGGACCAAAAGGTCGGCGATTCAAGCTCACCAGGTGCTCCTCAGAAACCCTGAACAGGGTCACTATGAGTCTGATGCCAACTTGATGGCACTTAGTAACATAGTAAATAGAATTAAGGAGCTCTGGTAGCATAGTGGTTATGAGTCGGGCTGCTAACCTCAAGGTCAGCAGTTCGAAACTACCAACTATGGCTCCGCAGGAGAAAGATGGGGCTTTCTGCTCTTGTAAAGATTTGCAGCCTCGGAAACCCTATGTAGGGTCGCTATGAGCTGGAACCAACTCCACAGCATACCACCACCACCACCAATAGAATTAAGAAGCTCTGGAATAGTAGTGGTTACCCACAGGGCTGTTAACCAAAAGATCAGCAGTTGGAATAAACCAGTCACTTAGCGAAAGAAAGATGAAGCTTTCTGTTCCTTTAAAGATTTACAGCCTCAGATACCCTGTAAGTAGGAACCAACTTGACGTCACACCACCACCATCATCATTAATAATAGAATTACGTGTGCATTCAATGTAGAGTAAATCCTGATTCCTTAGCAAACCACACCAACCCCTTATGCTATTCTATTATTGCATTTTCTTCTTCTACTTACATCTTTATATTTTATTGACATCTTTCCCCATCAAAACATAAGCTCCACAAAGGCAAGGGATGTTTGTTTTGTTCACTGATGTATCCCAAACACCTAGAATAGAACCTGGCACGGATCAGTACCTAATAAATATTTGCTGAATGAATAAATGAACTTTTGTGCTCGCCTTATGTCTCAACTGGATTTTCCTTTCCAGTCAAGCTATAACCAACATTACCGGCTTCTTCAGTTAAAAATAAACGAAAGCATAAAATCTAAAAACTACCTTTTAAAAGCTGTTCTGTCATGCCCCAGTTTACCACTCCCATCAATAACATTTATAGTTCCTGTCCTCAGTATCTATTTGCTGGAGTACAAATATGACTTTATGATTACTTCTGTTTGGCCCACGTACACAGGCACGACTCAAAGCCATGCACCGTGGGCACAGACTATGTCTTGCTTACAGATGCTGTGCCAGTAATGAAAGAAGAGTTAGGCAACCCTACCCGTCCTATCTGTACTTATCTCTACCCTCTTCTATACCTACCCTACAATCTTTCAAGACAAAATGAGGATTTCAGTAGTCTTTAGGAGTTCAGACTTTTAGATCTGATGTTCTCCTTCTAGGGATATATCTAAAGAAACAATCAGAAACTGACAAAATTTACATACCGAGATATTCATTAAACACTTACATAATGACCATGTAGACTCCTGGCGTGGCACAGTAGGATAAACACTATACTGTGAACCACAGGTCAACAGTTCAAAGCCACCAGCTACTCCTTAGAAACCCTATAGAGCCAGGATGGGTAAGCTTTTTCCTACCAAGGGCCATTTGGATATTTATAATATCATTCGCAGGTCATACAAAATTATCAACTTAAAATAAGCCTGCTATATTTGGCCAAACTTTTAACTAACTCACACCTAGATGGCTGGAGTTGTAGATGCCTTGGCAAGGCCAGACCAAATGATTTCACAGGCCTTATATGGCCCGTGGGCTGAATGTTCCCCACCTCTGCTATTGTTGTTGTTGTTATGTGCTGTGGAGTCGGTTCCAAGTCATAGGGACCCTGTACAGGGGTGAGGCTCTGTAAATTTACATTCCGAGGCTGTAAATATTTATGGGAGTGGAAAGCCTCATCTTTCTCCTGTGGAAAAGCTGGTCGTTTCAAACTGCTGATCCTAGTTCTAGAAAAGAATGTAGCTACTCTTTCTATTTATTCTATGTTTTAAAAAATAAGCTTCATGTAGTTCTTCCCTCCCTATTCTGTACATCACCAGCCAGTAACATATTTGATGTGTAGGTAAGGGAGACAGAAATAGGTGGAAGGCACAAAGAAAATGTGTAAATATTGAAACCATTCCTTGCTAAATTAGCACACATGCCAAACTATCCTTACTGTTGTTGAGTATCAAGTTAGTTCCAACTCATAGGGTTTTCAAAGGAGCTCTGGTAGTGCAGTGGTTACGAGTTGGGCTGCTAACCTCAAGGTCAGTAGTTCGAAACTACTAGACATTCCATGGGAAAAAGATAAGGCTTTCTAATCCCACAAAGAAACTCTATGCAGGGTCGCTATGAGTATGAAGCGACTCCACAGCACACCACCACCACAACAGAATTTTCAAGGAGATGCTGGTGGGTTTAAAAAGTATTCTGACAGAAATAAAAGAAATAGATAACTCCTAAAAGTAAAAAAACACATATACAAGTATGGGAAAAAATAACCCTTGAGAGGCAATATGGTTCAAAAGCTTGCTCTACTACTGTAACCTTGAGTAAATCATCACCCTCCTTGAATCTTAGCTTTTATATTTTTAAAGTGGAGCTAGTCTCTAAGTTCCAAGGGACAGAACCTTGGTGGTGCCGTTGCTGCTAATCAAAAGGGCAGTGGTTCAAACCTCCCAGCTGTTCCACGGAAGAAAGGTGTGGCAACCTGCTTCCATAAAAGTTTAGTCTTGGAAACCCTATGGGTTAGTTCTACATTCTCCTATAGCATCATTATAAGTTGGACTCAACTCCACACCTATAGGTTTGGGGGTTATCTGGGGGCATTCCAAGTGTTGAGTTGAAGAGTAAAGAGGAGCATGCAAGAAAGTGATTAGCGTATTGCTTAGCCCACAGCAAGCTACTTGATTGACTGTTATTTTTGTTATTATTATAAACCATACCCAGAGTTTCCACTATCAACTATTGCTTTTCCTGGATTTTGGGGTTTTCTGGGGCCTTCCAAGAGTTGAGTTGAAGA